GCACTGCCTAAATAATTGCTACAACAGCTACAGATAATGGGCAAATAACACTTGACATTACAATTACCTTGTTAACAGGATGGTTATGTTCATCCAAGAATTTCTTCACAACCAATCCATTTCCATCCTCTGATGCTATCAAAGACAACTCTGCAGGGCAGTTCTGACGAAAGGTCCTGTACAACAGGTCACAATGAGATCATTGAACTAATTGCTCAGTACTGTATAATCAAACTAACATTGTTGATCGTATCCCTTCTCCTTTAGATTTGAACTTTCTCCCACCATTGATACACTTAAATACAACTTCATAATATCGTATCTTGTCAGAGAGTTGTCGGTTTACACGCCTTTTAGCGGCATCAACTGTCCTGCAATCCCTTTTCCACCATTTGAGTATAAGTAGCTTTTTCATACTGCTTCAACTTAGCTTCCAGCTCATCATAAGACTCAAATCGTTCCCCAAGCACGAAAGAAGGTACTTGGGGCCGAGCTTTAGCTTCAGAATGTTCGGCAGAAGAAACAGACTTCGAAAAGACAGCTGCCATGATTAAGCACGTGTGTAAACGGGCGTGGTTTAGGCACCACGTGATCATGCCGGTTCTATAAGACCTTGAAAATGGGAACCGGTACCGGTTCCGTAGCCACTTCCTTAATTTTAAGCAATGCTATTATAATTTTTGTTTTGGCTTTATACTTAAAGATAATTGACTTTATTAAAGTTTTTTATGTAAAAAGTTAACTTTTTACATGTACAAGTCTAATAAAAATTATAGTTCTTTGTTCTGTTATTATTATTTCTTCTGCCCCTGCTTCCTGGCCTGGCTCTCAGAAGTTTCTTGTACCATAGTAAAATGAAATTGAGAGATGATTAATTGGTATCTATATAAACTGCAGATCATAGCTAAAAGAATCTTACAATTTGTCTATTCAAATGGCGAAGTTGAAATCACAATTTGTCTCTGCCTTTGCAGAGCAGCAACATCTGCTGCATGAAGTGGCAGAGGACCTCCAGCAACTGGTGGATGACCTCCAGCTACTGGAGGTAGGAATTGGTGGTGGTGGTGGTGGAGGACGAGGAGAACCAGCATCATCTGGTGGTGGTGGTAGTGGTGGGCCTACTGGAGGTGGTGGTGGAGGCCCTCCATCTACTGGTGGTGGTGGTGGTGAAGGAGGACCTCCATGATGCTCATTGTGATCCATAAACTATAAGAAAACATAATAAAAGCTCAGTAATGTAAGTTTGTAACTGAACTGACTTGCTGCTTTTTCACAAGAAAACTGATGAAAAAGTTTGAGAGATGTGAGCGAAATAATGGCAACTGAAGCTGAATGTAAACTTAAATTGTTTCAAAAAAGGAAATAGATGTTAGTAATTGTGCAGGGGAGTAGGAACAGGGTGGGCAAGTGCCCCCCCAATATTATTTCAGAGGAGGCATTGCTCCCTCAATGTCAGCCAATGATTGACTGCAGCATGACAGCAGTGTAAATATTCCTTACAATAATTTGATTTATTTCAGGCCTGTACCTAGGGAAGTGATAAGGGTGACAGGTCTCCCTCCTTTTTGCTGTCGTAATAATAATTGACATTGTAATTGTAGTTGAAAAACATGTTAAAATTGCTCTCTGAGCAGCCATTGGTGAAGCATTTTTCTGGGGGGTACCCCCCTTCTCATACATATACATGCATACACACAATCTGTCTTGCCCCCCCAATTGAAAAATGGTTCCTACTCCCCTGTTGTGTATAATAAGTAATAAATTATGAGCTAGGCTATGAATATAATTAATGATTCAAAAATTCATGATTGTATGACAACTGTTTTTATAACTCTCATTGTTCTTTTATCAAAATTCTTTCTACCAGTAATGAACTGATACATAAGGAAAAAATTATAAATATCAATAAAAAGGATTGTTAATAAATAAAAGTTAATAAAAAGTAGGGAAACAAGTAAATAAAAAAATTTCTATTAATTAAAATAGTGTTGTTAAAAAATAAAAGAAACAAGGGGTTGAGTTTAACTGTAATAATAATTAATAGTTCAATTAATAACAATAAACGTTAATTATGTAGTACAGCAATCAATAGATACCGAGGCATAATTGTTATTTAAATTCTATTTGTGTTGTAGTCTGCTTATCATCATTTTCTGCAAAGTAGGGTTTGAAATTTTTGTATTATTTTTAAGAATAAATTATTTTTCTATTAATTAACGTTTGTTATTATGAATTGAACTAGTAATTATTATTTTGGTTCAACTGAACCCCCTTTTATCTTTTTTTTTTGACAACCCTAGTTTTGTTAATTAATAGAATTTTTTAAATTTACTTTTACAAACCTCATTGTGTTTATAATATGGTGCATCACAAGTTGGACATCAGCCTTTCATTCCTTTGTTTGAAGGTTGTTTTTTAGTTCGTTTTTGTGTTTTCTTCTTTTCATTTTATTTCTCTCTCTCTTCCCTTTTTCACTGTCTTTCATGAACTCTCTCTTTCTTTTCATTCTTTCCTTCTTCAGCATGACGTACTTTGTCCATTGTTTCAGCCGAGGTTAGGCTTTCTCTACAACTAGGGAGACGCTTTGGTTAAATTGTGGTTGTTCTCTTTTGTGTCAATGAATGTTTTAACTCAGCCAAGAAGTTGTGTAGCACAGGTATTGTACTGGTAGACGATTATGTATGAGGTTGAAATAATTGAGTTGAAAGTTGTGATAAATTAGGTGGTGATGGAGTAACTATTGAGCATGGTAGTGGCTGTGATATGTCTGTAAAGGGAGATATTATGATTATTGTAGAGGGGATTTTGGTGGAGACAGTGATAGAGAAGACAGTGATGATTGCAGTAATAGTTGTAAGGATGATAACAAAGCATGATTTGGTGGTATATTTGTTGATGGAATGGTATTTGTGTAAACGGTGATGTGGATTGAGTGAGTTATGTTGTTGACTGGCTTTGCAATACAGATAATATTGGTGCTATAGGTGTTTCTAGTGTTGTAGGTGTTTCTGGTGTTGTACATGTAAGAGGCTGAAAATCATTTGTCATGGTGCAAAGCAGTTTGGGTTAAATTGATAAATACCCGCTTTCTTGAATCTGGCTTTACCTAACTCCTTTGAATTTTGTCTTAGCCTATTAATTTATACTGGGAAGTCTCACTTTAATACTACTCTCTTTTCCTTGTAGTTAACTCTCTTACTATTGGCTGCCATTCTCTTTTGACATACTTCATTACACCAATGTCTAATGGTTGTAATTCATGGATCATTTGTGGTAATTTAAGCAGACGAATGCCATGCTCTAGTGCTAGGAGGCATACTTCAATGACACATGAGACGAATGACCGTCAAGAATAAGAACAATTGGTTTCTTATCACCAATAAATGGAAAGAATAGAGACTGGATCCAGTGAGCTTAGTCATCCATCAATTTTGTGTCACACTATACCTGGGTCCTAACGGCCACCATACATTGTGTCCAACATAAGTCGTTCTCCTATTTACACTACATATTGTAGTAAGAGCTTTAGTGCAGCAGATATACAGAGCTGAACAATAATATTATTTTCTCGTCCAGACTCTGCGAAGAGTGCTTCAGGCAACTTCTGGCCCCACGTAGTTAGTATCATCTAGGAGTCTAGCTTAACGAAAGGCCAGATTCATCTAGATGATAAGTATTACTTGGCTTTCCTATTACATCAAGCATGGTAAGCACTGGATTTAATCTCTTATCAAACCAATGCTTACTGCCTCTTCATTTAAGGCCATTGCTCTTACCAGCTGCAGATGTTGTGGCCTTCTGTTTGCAAAAGATGAATGCATTCATCTTTTGCTGCTTCATAAACAAACTCCTCCACCCTTCCCCTGGCACTCCATCTTTAAAGGGATGTGGCTTTTTCGTGTACTGTAAGAAGCTCTGCATTATTCCATTGATGTCTGTGAGGCATAAGCCAAACCCCCATTCTCCAAACAGAAGACATGTTTCTCCAAAACAGAAGACATGTTTCTACAATGTCCTTCTCGTCATCTGCTGTCAATGTTGTAGGATGACGTGGTCTTTTGACAACACTACCATGAGCTAGATAGTTCTGAAGTCTTGACACTAAAATTCTGTGCATTGTAGCTGCTCTTTTAATATACTTGAACCTCTTTGCATGATCAACTGCCTTTCCATATCTTCATTCCATTTCATTTTATTTCCTTTTCCCTTATATTAATGCATAATTTTTATACATAAAATGTATATAAAATAATAAATATGATACAAATAATAATGTAGTTTTGGTATAGAAGTTTATTGCATTTAGCAGCACCTATTGAAAGTATCCTCTGTGTGTTCTAGTGCTAAATTAAGCTCTTTCACCTGTCAATGGAGACTAAATTCAATAACCACACGAAAGTCTCAACCGTGTTTTCCTCCTGCATTTTATTGTGTTATTCATCATTATTGGTGCCATTCTGCAGGTCTATCCATCCTAGATCCACTACTATCAGTTTTGGGTCTTAAAACCCCTTGGTTCCCAAGTTATAAGCCTAGAAAAAACACCCGCTAGGCAGGGCTATTCTGCGTGACTACACATGTTTCACCATTGTTTACTAAGGAAACAGAATAGCTTTGGAAAGTAGTAGCCCTGGTTGACTATACACTATGTTTTAGGGAGGAATAAAGCGGTATGTATAAGTATTATGATAATAATTCTACACAATTTATTGTCATGTGTTCACAGCAGAGAATGAATCTAAGCCACATAGTAACGGTCACGGAACTACAACTTATACCTGTTCATGCACCATGGCACCATGTAGGTATTGATTTTTATTAGTCCTATTCATCTAAGTAGCAGAAGCGGAAATAAATTTTTCCTATATCTTTCAGATTGTTTCACTAAGTGGGTGGAGGCAATTCATTTACATTCAAAATGCTCTGTTGGAGTTACTCAGGCCCTTCTTAAGGCACTTGTGTGACACTACATGTATAACGTATA